TTCCGGTCTAGTTAGATGAAATAATTAAAGGGTTCTTCGAAACCGAGATTCCCTTCATATTTCCATTGAGCATTAGCCTAATAATGATAAATTTGTCAATACATACGTGAGTTAAGAGAAATATACCAAGTGGACATACAAAGCGGAAAGCTTCGTTCTCATTTGTTTAAATGATTCGCTACATCATACCCAAATGAATATTATAATTTAGCCATAAAAGTGGAAATAGTAAATATGCACCACGACCGGCTTTGTAGTTGAGCAGGCCTCAGATCATATTTACGAGATGAATTCACGGTAGTTAGTTTACTTTAAGGAAAGACTGTCAATTGTACTTTCCCATAATCATATATAAGTATGTTTCAGGCTCCCAATGAAATTCGCATAACATTGTATTATAAACGAAAATAAGTAATTTTGCCGATTGTAATAGCAAATAAGCTTTGCTTCATTGACAATCGCATCACAGAAATTCGATATGAAAAAGGCCTGGTCTTCCTTGAAATGCACGTCTGCCCTGTGACCGGGAGGCTTTGGTGGCAGTGTAGCGTAAGTGGTAAAGGTGTTAAGATTATGCGCAGCACTAAGCGGGCTTGAGTCCCGCTGGAGGTGCCGACTAGATCTGGGCGAGATAGAAACTGCAGTCCAGCCAAGCCTGGATGATAATGCATTTTGGAAGGCAAGACCACGTGAAATTCAATGGAAACATGAGGCCCACTCACATGATTATGAGAAAATTCAACTAGCCCTAATATACATGAGCTGTAGGTAGTCTTAAAACATAAGTATAAACAAAAAATACCACCGGCCGTCGGTTGGCGAGCCGAAACGGACAACTTACCTTCAATTTCGAATCAAATGAGCTAAGCAGTTGGTGTGTTATTATGATACAAGGGTTAGCAGAAAGCCATGTCGGCGAGCCTGAAAAGCCCTCTGCACCTCTGCAATTATGGCCATATAATGGCAAGGCTGGAGGGTGATACAGAAAGACATTTTCTAATTATCAAGGAAAAGATACCGGAATGCGAGCTAAGTTAGTTGGCAACAAAGCATCGGTTCGATGCCCATCATTCTGGCTGTGTAGGAGGATTGTATAACATTCTCCCAACTCCCTTGGCGGCACAAATGAAACTGACCCGATGAGGCACACAACTGGCACAGCTGGCGCCCCGCCTGACGACAACCTGGAGAGTTGTCGGGCAGGAAGCAGTTTGATGCGTCAGAAAGCAAGAAAGCATGGTGAAGAGAATATATTTCACTGGCTGCGAATATCCAGGGGCCATCTGGTAATTGGCGTAATGAGGCGGAATTCAGAGGCTACGGCAACTCTGAGGAAAGACGCGGAAGTTCACTTGCTTGAAAGACATTCCTGAGATTCAGAATTACCTTTCTACCCTCTTGGCCTCCACGTAAACAGTGTTCATATCGCGCTCCAGCTTGGCCTGAATCACTGTGCGTCGCCAGGCATTCAACGCTCGACGAGACAGTCGCGACCTGGCGAATACCGTTGCCCCCAGGTCCTGCAGACGCCGGGTACGGATGAGAGCCAGCCATGTGGATAAAAAGGGCCTAAGGACCTGGAAAGGCCGGGAAAATGCATGAAAATCAAGTTAAATCCCCATTTATATCTGCGCCTTATCAGCCCTCCCTCGCAATATCATCACCCGAGTCCCTCTCGTCTGTAGCTACATTAACCTTAACTTTGCCTCATTAGCAAAAAGGCTAGTGGCTGCCGGCATGCAGAATGTAAAATCATGAAATGCCGTTTGGTCGAACCCGGCTGAAGATGTGTTTATGTCGATCTAGAGGGGTCCAGAAACCCGTTTGAGCTTGAAAAGTTCGATTGGTCATTTCATCAAAAGGAAGTGTTTTAACCAAAATGTTAACGACACATCCTCAGAAAACCACATCCAACTCTCGGAGCCAGCTCATGGCCTGGTTACTTGGTGACGGTAGAGTGTGCATTAGGCTTTACACCCAATGGACCCCTAAGAAATGGTGCCAACATAGAACGATCAGCTTGAGAAACCGAACCATGTGGTAGGTGGCCTATTCGCAGGGTTTCATATCACCCTGGGGCGCGAGTAAGGCCTAGTCAGGACTGGAAAATCAGAATATGGATAAAGAGATCCGTTCGTGACAAAAAGGTGCAGTTAACTAAAATAAAATCCATCATGAATTCACTAAATTAACCTCATTTGGCAAATAGAGTGGGCAAAGTGAATGAGTAAGCCGGATGGATAGAAGGACCGATAGATGGTCCTGCATTCAAGCAATTCAGTCCGTATGAAAAGTGTAAGAAAAGTTTTCCCATGTTATTGGCAAATTGGGAAAAGAAACTGGCTTTCTAGGACTCGCCTAATAAATTCATTTTGTTCTATATTACATTTCGTAAATGATAATCTCTGGTGCCACGGTGTGGAGAGGACTTTATTGAGCAAACCAAAAATCACAACTACCTCAATATGCGGGTAAGTGTGAACTAATTTGCAGATCTCATCAGCTCGCCTTTTCGAACGAAATGAAAGGTACAACCAAATTAATATACGCATTTGTGAACTTGTGGTAAATGGACTGTTGCTGCAACTTGACCTGTCGTGAAGGTCAGTTGTGATAGGATCGTGCTACCAGGGTGTGTTAACTTGATTCCCTACAATCATAACCTCAACAGTTCACATTTCGCTGAGGGTGTGAATAAAACGAAGAGAGTCGAGGTTCGCACTTCGATAAAGCCAGAATGATATCGTCCTTTTGGTACGTATAGTGAAGACAAGTGGAATGCAAAATAAAACACCCTTCAATTGATCGTGATCAGAGTGACATCGTACACAAGTCGTGTTCCTTGTCAGAAATCATCTTCCTAACATATTAACAACTTCGGACAAATCAGAGTGATGGGCGTATAGAACTTAACCTGCCTCACTGTCAACTCGTTGTGAGCTGATAAGCAGACCGCATCACTTGAGGACTGTTAACACTCAATCTGTCATGTGGAAATGTTCCGCCTTTACAAATTTTCATATCTCTATAAAGACAGAATTTTCTTACCGCCTCAGACTGAAAACCTAATAAAC